CTTTTTTGACTCTGTTAGTGTGCAATACTGCATAATAACATGCAATAAAAGTAACAGCCTAGGTGACCAGGTTTTATTTATTGTTTACAACTGTACAGGAGGCATTATGTTTTGTTTTTATCTAGGTAGGAATAGACATGAATTTACACATTCATACAGTCTTTAGCTGAATCAGACTAAGGAGATTCTTATTTGTATAATGGATAATTGACCTATATGACCAGGTTTCATACAGGTCAATATGAAGATGTTAAATCCCTTCTACCTTCTACTGGTTGATCAGAAGGTCTGCATTTCATCTAAATGGTTTTGTTTACACAATTTAATCTGGCTTTACCTGTCTAAGATAAGATCATAAATATGCCAACCATTCAGATTTCACCCAGCCATTCATTTATAAACATGTTTTGAGGCGAGAAGGAAAATGGTCCATCAGTCAGATTACAGTGTATTACTCTGTGACCCAGGGGATTCTGCTCATATTATAATTATGACACTTAAGGGTACAGATCATGATTGTAGCCTTTAACCTCATAATGAATAAAACACACATTTATACAACTAAGGAAAATAATTTTACTTTTAATGTGTATCACTCTTTGACCATGTGGTAACCAGAGATTGAGTAACTTAAATATTATATCATATCACTGTGTCATGTAAGATAGCTTGGTTCTCCTGAATCATTATCAGTAAAGGTTATTTTTGTGGAAAAATAAAGGAATCTAATGTTTCAACAAATAAAACATTATTTGGTGCAGTGATGGAGAATGAAAGATGCAACATAGAATTGTACCAAATATTATAAAACATTACTTGCATCTGAAGAAATCTTAGTTGCTCCTGTGTTTTTATACCAGGGGACTTATTGTATCTTATTGACATAATATATGAAAATACTGTACATACCATAACTGCTGAAATGCTTAATTTGTAAAATTTTAGAAACAAAATAGTCATTATTGTTTGACTTCTATGCTCTGTAGGTCTAATATTGTATGCATTCATTTTGTGAATTAAGCCAGTGGCACCAGATAAAGTTATTGAGTTTTCCTGTGACACTGCAAGTTGATCCACTGTTTAAGAAGTCTGGGCTGGTTTGTTCTGCTATGCTGTGGTGTTCAACTGTGTAAATCAGAATAACTTTATTCCTGTTCACTGTTCTGTGAAAGCAATCACTGCTTAGCTATAGGACTTTCAGAAACATGAAGAAATATTAGAGCTCTTCAAATGCTGAATTCCAAATCTGAGTGGGTAATTTAACAATAAAAATGTAGAACTTCAGTCATAAGGATTTAACAATACATCACTCTGTCATACAAAATATTAGAACTCTTTAGGACACTGAAACTGAATAGGACAACCTACCTGCCTACTAACCACTTAGCTTTTTCACATCAGTGGTAAATGACAGTTTAACACATAAGTCAAACTGTCCTAATGTACCCTATGGAGAAAGGATGTCAGTTTAAATACCCTTTCACTTTCAAAACATGGTTTTCCTAGTTTGCAAGTTTAAAAGATATACATAAGAAAATCTTGCTGGATAATTACAATTGTGTATTTTACTGCTAAAGACAACACTGCTCTCAACTACTCTTCCTCTGTGAGATCCACAAATATTTTCTTTAGATAATAAACAGGGTCAGTTTTTTAATGTTAGTAACTAACTTTTCTATAGTGCAGCCATTTGATCTTGAAACAGTCAATGATAAAACATTTTAAAATGTAGGAAAAAATCTAAACTATTAAGTATTTAAATTAATCAATATATTCTTTTTGTATTGCCAAGCAAGCACACCAAGTGATTTCTTAAAACAGATTTTGTTTCCTCAACCCATCAAATATTTTCAGTGCTAAGCCTTTCCTAGAATGTGCAAGGTACAAGGCAGAACTGTGAACACTGAACCTCTTGTCCATCTCTGAGACAAGAGTTATATCTTAAAAGTAAAAAAAAAAGCAAATTAAAGGGAAGACAAAGTGGGGAACATTTATTTGTTATATATTTGTTTCTTCTTAAGTTTGATTACACTTCCCAACATAATCTATACTTAAAAATAACTACAGTAATATATTTAAAATGCAGATTTATCAGTTGTGTAAAACAATCAACAGTTAATACAACTGGTATTTCTTAAAAGTATGTTTGATTAAAATTATTTGCTCTTACATTTCTTTTCTCTTATCTAACCAATTATTAACAAGAATTAATATTGGATAAGAAATCATATTACTCTTTGACATTTGTAAACAAAACTATAAACTTGTTCAGCACTGTGTTAGAATGTCTAACCATTACTCAAAGATTTCAAGGTACAGTGTGCATGATTTGTATATTAATCACAGCAATGACTAATTGGTTTAACAGGCTGCAAAAGATCTCTTTGCATAAAGGAAACAAAGCAACAGAGAAAGACTGGGAAATCTTCACAGACCAGGCATTTACCAAACACTAAAACCAGAAAAGTCAGCTTTTGTTCTTTATGTTAAATTTCTATGAGGACTTTATTTTAGTTAAAAAAGTAACAAAATCTCCATAGTAATGCCATTATTTAATTTTAACGTGACTCACATTTATTTAACAGAAGGTTACAAAGAAACTTGAGGGAAAACAGATGACACATACTGAAGGCCATGCTAGTGCTTTTAACTAAGAAGACTCCAGTGTGCAACGGTAAACTCTCACAGAGGCAATTAAAATATCACAGAATGGTTGTAGTTATATTCTGTTTTAGCAGCAGAGGAAATATGAATGCTCTGAGTGATTAAAAACAAAATAAATATGAAACATTATGAAAGCTTAGTATGGAAAACAGATTTAGGTTTTATTCTTGCCCAAGATCAGGAAATCTTTTACCTCAGATTTCTCCAGCCTTTCCACAGCAACACCTAGTTCATTTACACTTTTGTAAATTAAGAAAAGGAAAAAAAACAGAGTATACTTTATAAATCTCTGAAGGACAGATCAATATACCCCTTTGTGCCTTTAACAAGTTCCTTCTTTGTTGTGTTACATTTTAGTGTAACATCATTCTGCATTCTGCTCTGTATCTACATGGGTTTTGGTCAAAACATGATATAAATGGTATTGTTTTAAAATTTGGAATCACCAAATATTTTAATTATATACCCAATCTATTTGGAATTGCAAATTGTGATTACCCCTCTACTCACACAGGGAGTATGTGGAAGAGCAAACAGGCTTCTCTGTGACTCGTTCACCCATTAGGCCATTCATCTTTTAAAACATAACAAGCTCCACAGCATCATACAGACAGTTTAGCATCACATTGTGGCACCTCCATCACTAACAACAGCCCCGCAGGTACCCAAGAAGTTTGTCCGTGGTCTGCTAATCCCAGCTCCATCACCTGCAGAATTTTAGGCTGCTTGGGAAATTCTATTAACACTCAGTTAATCATGAGACTAGTTCAAACTGGTACCTTCTGGATCTCATAGCCCATCACCTTTTTCTCAACAATGTGGAGAGCTCCAAAAATATATTTCATAAGAAGACCTGCATTAATCTGACCCTTTCCAATCTGAATTGCAGTATTATTGAACATACAACACATAATATATTTAACATTTAATTAGTTTTGTCAGCTACTGAGCTAGATATTGCTTCTCACAGCTGTTCTGAGGCAAAGACACCACCCGGGATGGGAGACCACCTGGGAAAAACTAAGGTTGCTGCTGGAAGAGGTGTTAGTGGGGCCAGCAGGGGGCACTCACCCTGCGGTCCATGTGGGTCCTTATTCCCCAGTATAGTGACAGGGACGCTATACTGTAAACAGGTGCTGAGAAGTAAAATCGAGGTCCTGACTCACTGTGGTCATTAAAAATCCCAGGGTGTTTCTCGAAAAGAGTAGGGTGTAACCCTGGCATCCTGGCCAAATTTCCCATTGGCCCTTCCCAATCATGGCCTCCTAATAATCCCCATCTATGAATTGGCTTCATTACTCTGCTCTCCTCCCCACTGATAGCTGATGTGTGGTGAGAGTTCTGGCGCACTATGGCTGCCGTCGCATCATCCAGGTGGATGCTGCACATTGGTGGTGGTGGAAGGGAGTCCCCATTACCTGTAAAGCGCTTTGAGTGGAGTGTCCAGAAAAGCACTATATAAGTGTTAGCAAGTATTATTATTATTATTATTATTATTATTATTATTATTATCATCTGAAAACAGCAGAGATATAACCCTCAGGTTCCCAAACTAAGTACACCCCAAACCTTGGCTGTGCCTTGATATTGTGTCAACGACAATTACGAACAGAAGAGTCAATTTAATGCCGAGCATGCAGATACAATTCTCGATCCACAAATACAGGGGCTGGATAGCATGCACCAGCGGCACCAAAATACCATACTCTTCCACAAGATACACTGGGGTACACAGTTTAAACCTTCTCCATGTCCACAAAACATCTAGGCAGGGGCGGCAAACTCTCATAACCCCCTTAAATACCCTTGTAAGAACAAAGAGTTGGTCTAATGATCCAGGAATAGAACGGAATCAACATTGTTCCTCCTGTATCGAAGGCTCAGCTATTGGGCACAGTCTGCTTTCCTGGACTCTGGCACAAACCTTTCCAGGGAGGCTAACATCTACTATAAGAAACAGAATAATTGCCTTAAGGAGGAGGTCTACAAAACAGTTCAGTTCATGCAGCACCAAGGGATACTGCAAACCTGCACAGACATGATTCATGTACACCCCTGAATCCCACAAAGAGCTGCCAATATAAAATCAGACACTTCAAGGACATTCACAGGGTTCACTTCAAGTTCACAGGATTGCAAAAGTAGGACAAAGAACAAATTTATCTGATGTGAGCAAGCCATGGGTCAATGAGAGCTCACTTATGCACATAATTCTATTATGGTTTCAAGCTCAATTTGCAGTGTCATCCTCAACAGCCAAGCAGGTAGTTCACCTTTATATTATTAATTCCCTAGGTTAAAAAAACAGCAATAACAGCAAAAGAATCCAAAAAAGATTTGGGATCAACTTATTTATTATCTTTAAAAATATAAACAAAACTAGAGATACATTCTGTAGACACTATTAAGGAAGAATAAAAAGATTAAATTCTTTCTAGCTTTATAACACACGTCCTTATGATCTGGAACAGATCTGCTTGCACTTCCTTAGACTTTCATTTGATCCTGTTTGTAATGTGAAAATCATTTGTGTGGTACAACAATTGTAACAATAGTAAAATTTCACCATACCTACTCTTAACTTGCATTTTCCACTCTTTTCTGTACTGTACTTTGTTTTTTGTTTTGGTTCACTGCCTGGATGTTATCCATAATAAATCTCCTAACACATTTTTTTTAATAGTCTGCCAGATATGCAGTATTTATGTGTTAATATTTCTTCTATGTACCTCAGTTTCTCCCCCTATCAGTTCAGTTGCACATTACCCTGAAAACACACAGCTATGAGTTGATATTCTAATATCAATAAGACCATATTATTGAGAGTGAAAACACAACCAACTGTAGTAAAGAAAAATATCTACAAAAATGTATAACTACTAGCTACCTAGCCAGTTTCTTCACATATTCACAGTATTAGTTTTATATATTAAACACAACTGTGCTCTGACACTAGTTCTATTCAGTGCACTGATCTCTCAGTTGGAGTGCAATGCCCTTCTTTTAACCAAACAAAAGTCTCATCCAATCCTTAAAAACACAAGACAGTCAAAATGCAAATATCCAAGTATAAAGTGCATGAGGTGAACCATACACTAGAAAGCTAGTGAGTTCCACTACACTGATGATAAAGTTTAGAGGCAAAGGGGAAATCAGCTCACCAGTCAGCTAGCTGCTTAAATTAAAAGCAGCCTGATGAACAATAGCCTACTGTCCCATTTACTGTATAGGAATAAATACAATTGTAGTGTACCCCACCAAAAATGTAGAATGACAGTTCCTTTGTTGATGATTTGAATTACAATGAATCACCAGTGTATGAAATTATACATGTAAACAAACTGTGGGAGTTATTTACTACTTTATGTTCTTATTAACCTACTGTATACTGTTTTCCAGTTGTTTTATTCATGTTCTAAAAAACAGTGTTTCACAACACTGTATCTATTCAAAAACCAAAAGCACCCATGGTGTTCTGTACTGCTGAGAATTTCTTTCAACTGGAAATCACCAACAAAACAGTAATGTGAGATCAGTGCTATCAGTGCCCTGGTTTATTAGAACCTCCCAAGACAATCTATAAGGCTTGCACATTAATTTATTAGAGATGCAGGTTACTCATTTTGGCAAGCACATCTTAGATGAAAATAATTAGAAACTAAAACCACAGTTCCACAACAGACGCAAAATTCTCCACAGAGACGTAGACAGAAAAGTAGGACAGACAGTTTGGAAATGACAGATAAAACTAAACAAGCAATAGTTTGCCTACTTTGACTTTTCTAGGATTATTCATAATTTGACTTCATAATAGACAGCAAGGTCTATTTTAAATATTTTAAAATGCTTTTTCATCTTGAATTATAGATACCCTGACTCCAATATAAACAAACTACAGAGAAAGCAGTTAAGTTAATGATAAGATAAAAACATTATTAACATCACTGTGTGCTCATGAAAAGGGCATTATAAAGGAACACTGTTTCCAAATCCAAAATTCATTTTGCTCTTGGTCAAGGAGGGAAAAAAATCACCTTTTTTCATCAGGATGAAAACAACAATGGGACAGGTAAAAAAGACATCAAGACAACGAAATGGTGTCAGCCCCTACTTTGGGAAACAGATTCCAAACACATAGAGAAGGAACAAATACAAATCCAAATTCAGAAAGGAAAGGGACTTTTTATTGAAGCAAATATAAAATTTGCTTTAGCTTGCTGAAGAACAGCATTAAAAGCTGTCAGTTACACTGGTTTCTCAGATGAAACTAAATTATTATTAAAGATTTTTTATTTAAGAGTGCCAGAGCTCAGAATTCATGAGGCAGACTGGAACAATCTCCAGTTCAGAGCTTTGTTTGAAATGAGGGAATGGCCTTTACTTTGCTCATTATCCCCATATTAAGAACTCCTATAAAGATTCTGGCAAACACAATCTACTAATAATATTTTTATCTTCGATTTCCCTCTTATTTAAAAATAATTAATATTTTTCTTCTATTTTATGAGATCCCAGCTGATCAAGCTGAAGGATAATAACCAGCACACAATCTCACATCTGGGGCTGTTAACAAATCTACAGTAATTACACCATTTGCCTCTAAGCACCATCTTATAGTCCATAGCACAGGATGTTTGTGGAGCTGGAACTGCATAGAGTTCCACTCCATGATAGATCACTCTGGCTGCTTTCAAGAAAGTCTAGACCTAGTCATGCTTGAAAGTTTGTGAACCCATTACATAATTTGAGATTTTTTTGTTTGTTTTTTTTTTACCACAAAATGCATATTTAATCAGAATTTGTCACTTCTTAATTGAAATGAAGTATAATTATTCACCAATTTGAGTGTTTAGAAAGAAAATGTCCAAGCAGCAAAAATAACACAGTTATTAACACAGTATACACAAATTGTGCAGGCACACAAATAAGTGAACCCTTAGTTTTATGACTTACTTCAAGGTAAAGGAGGATCAGATGGGTCAATGACAGAGTGTTAACCAATTAACCGAGATAACCAAAGAAATTGAACATCTGAAATGATGTGTTAGGGAGGAGCAAACATAAATAGCTGCAAGAAAGCAGGTCAGTTCTCTTCCTACGAGTCTAGAATCATGCCACAAGCTAAGGAAATTTCAGCAGAACTTAGGAAAAAAGTAGTAGAGGCTCATCAATCTGGACAAGGTTATATAGCCGTTTCAAAAAGATTCAGACTCCATAAATCCTCTGTTGGGCAAATAGTATACAAGTGGAGGGCATTTAAAACAATGGCAACCCTGCTAAGAAGTGGACGTCTACCTAAATTTTCACCCAGGACCACAAGGAGAATAATAAAAGAGGTAAGAGGTAATCCTATAATAACATCCAGAGAGCTACAAGCCTCCCTAGCTGCTTCTGGAGTAGTGGTGCATAGATCAACAATAAGAAGAGCCCTAAACAGAAATGCCATCTATGGAAGGGTCCCCAGGAAGAAGCCTCTTCTGTTAAAAAATAACAAAGCTGCCTGTCTGAAGTTTGCCAGAGACCACCTGAACAAGCTTGTTGAGTTCTGGAAGTATGTTCTCTGGACAGATGAGTCCAAAATTGAACCATATGTGGACATAACAAGAGGGCCCATGTTTGACGAAGAGCCAATACAGCCTACCACCGACAAAACCTTATCCTTCCTGTCAAGCATGGTGGTGGGAGTGTCCTTGTATGAGGCTGCTTTTCTTACTCTGGCACTGGGGAACATGACATCACTGAGGGAATCATGAATTCTGAGAAATATCAAGGAATTCTTGAGAAGAATGTCAGGCCATCAGTTAGAAAATGTAAGCTGGGCACAAAGTGGATGTTTCAACAAGACAATGATCCTAAACATTCAAGTCCACTAAAGACTGGCTTAGGAAGAAGAGGTTCCGTGTTCTGGAATGGCCAAGCCAAAGCCCTGACCTGAATCCTATTGAACTGCTGTGGCAGGACCTGAAGAGGGCTGTTCATGCAAGACATCCTTCAAACCTTACAGAGCTGGTGGAGTTTTGTAAAGAGGAGTGGGAAAAAATCCCTCCAGCAAGATGTCAGAGACTGATAATTTATTATAGGAAGCAACTGTTATTGCTACTAAAGGAGGTTACTGACTGAAATTTACTTTTGCACACAAGAATATCTGGTGATTTGTTAAATATCAGTCTAATAATCTATGAGTTCAAATCCCTTTTTATGTGTGGGAAGTTTTTATTTAGGATATTCATTTGATATATTTATTAAGAGTTCAGGTTCATATAATAGCTCTATAATATATAAAATAATGAATACCTTGAAGGGTTCACAAACTTTCAGTTATGACTATATAACCCCTTCCTAAACAAAGAGTTATTCATTTCACATTTCTGTTTTTTACAGACAATATGAACTTGTGATTTTGGATCCTACCAACACATTCATACATTCTGTATGACTCATTCAGACCATTTTTCAGCCACAGGCAAGAACAGTGCAATACAGCTTAACATCCTGCAAAAATCACATCATGAAATCAACAGATCCCATCAGTCACCTCCTGGACAAATTAATTAGCAACTGTATCTTAAAAGAAAGCACATCATAAAAAATACTCAAATCAGAACATGATTGTGGAGGGACCAGTTGGCTTCAGTTGTAGGGACTGAATGGCCACATGTAGGGATTCTGCTAAAAAATGGATTTAACCTGATAGCATGATAGATAACACCTGTGATTATAGAATATATTATATATTTCACTCTTCTTCAGTGCTCAATTAAACCTTTCTACAAATATTTCACAAAATGCTGGTCCTGGAGTAACATTTCACCAAAGTCTACAGGGGGAGGTTAACTGCAGAATTACAGTAAGGAGTGAAATGAACAGTCATGTAAATAATTGCATTTTCCCATCAACTATTATATTCAAAAGAGATATGTGTTTACTCAATTTCCTCAGGCTGTTGTGGAATAACCAGTCTTGTGTTTCATTAATAAAGAACCAAGACTAAGAATATTACCAAATTCAGCAAAACTACAATCTCTTTGCCTAACTTCTATTTGTAACATTTCCAGAGTTTACAAGGGAACAGGGAATTGGTAAGTGGACTCACACTTTCACTTGATGAGACATATCAATATGAAGAATGACTTGAAACAACTAAAGAGGAAGAGATGCTCAAGAAGCAGTCTAATGTTAACACAACACAAAAAAACATTAAAATTAAACAGTAATGGGGGCTAATATAACCTTAATACTAACTTGTTCTCAAGAATCAAGTAAGATCCTTGCAGTATAGCAAATTTCAGGAATGAAAGCAACCATGCTCCTTTAGTACATTGCCAGCTTATTTTGAAGAACACTAAACAAAACTACACTAAATTAATTAGTTTCAGATAGTGTTCTGCAGATTTTGAGCCTGAAAGTTTATGACAGAAAGAATGGGCTGCTTCTATGGTTGATCCACATCACCATACGGACAGCAACAGAACTAATCTGTTTTTCCACAGAAACATTCTGGATCAGAACCGAAAATAGTACCCTATATATGTTTTTTAAAAAATGTTTTACTGAGACAGAAGTAGAATACAATGCTTAGTTAACTGCTGTGCCTTGCATGGAGTTTCCAACCACCTTCCCTTCAAGTTGTATCTGCAATGAACTTTCAGATTTCTTCCAACTGATTTTTTTTTAACAGCTGTAGACCCCCTTCCATCAGTATCACAATTAATTGTATTATTCTTAGCACTATTTATTAACTATTTTCTCCATACCTTTCCCTCTAAATGAATAAAAAAGAACATTTAATTTAATTTCTAAGTGCTCTAATTCTTCTTCTTGACTTCCTGGTTGCCATAGCTGGAGCCCTTTTCGATCTCTGTCACTCCTATGAGCCGTCTCACAGCAAAGCATGCTGAAGAAAGAATAGAAAAAAGGTTAATTTTTGTATGTGCCTTTTCAGTGAGTGATGACTAGGTGTGTGGAGATAACTTTTATATCAGAAAAAGGCTTTTTTTTTATATTGTGGTACCAAAATACTTTATCTCCACCCTCACACACCCAATCATAATACTTTCACTGGTAAAATATCTGTAATCACATTCATTACCATAAGATTGCAAGTCCCAGTACTACTCTTTCTTATAGTGTTTTTCTTCTTTGATTGCATCATTTTTGCAATACTGATTTACAGACTTACTGTAAAATGAAAAAAACACAAGTTTAAATACCTATTCCAATAAAAAGGATGAATCCAATAATGAGAAGAGGGGAGCCACTGACAGCCACTCCAATGGCAAAGTTAATGAGAGGAGACAGCAGGACTGTGGCCCAGAAGAGGAAGTTGAGAAGAGTCCAGGGCCTCCGGGGGGGCTTGATCTGGGGGCCAGGGAAAGTGCCCTCTTTCTGATAGTGGTCCTGTAGCGCGTCCTGCAGGCAGATAGCACAAAGCGACCTCAGAGATCTTCTCTTCACTTGAAAATTCACTTCACAATTTCTTGAAAAGGTTAGGGGTGTTACTCTGGTGTCCTAGCCATATATCCCACTGGCCCTTACCAATTATGGCCTGTTAATAATTCCAATCTATGAATTGGCTTAATTACTCTGTTCTCCTCCCTTCAATAGCTGATGGGTGGTGAGTGTTCTGTGTGCATTTTCACTGCTGTTGCATCATCCAGTTGGGTGCTACACATTGGTGGTATCAGGGGGGAGTCTCCATTACCTGTGAAGCGCTTCGAGTGTGCTGTCCTGAAAAGCGCTGCTGATGCAACCAATGCATGGCAAAAGTCTCACCACAGCACTCTGCAATATTATTTGTCACACCTACCTGTAATTTAACTTTTCACTGGCTGAAGAAGATTGATAGGTGGCACATTTGGTGAGTTAGATGTTAGTGAAATAATTATTTCACTTAATCTGTTTATTACTGTTCTTCTTTAAGATCACTTTAAGTTCACAACAATGTACCTTCTTTACAAATATTTTCTGCATCAGTCACTGTTGTAATGGAAAATGAAACATAAGGCAAATTGGTGGCTCGGTGGTAAAATTATTTCTTTTTCATGCAATAGGGTCTGGATTTGATCCCAACCAATACAAAAGTTGTACTTTTAACAAATTGTCCTGTAGGCATAATAAGGACATTCTCTAATAATAAAATATAATAAATAATGTATACTACATTGTTACAGCTTTAGGTGACTAGCATGGAGTTTTTAAGTGTTTAAAGTGTGTGGCACCTGGAAGAGTAAACACTTCCAGCTTCAAAGCTGGAAGTTTGCTGAGATGTGGTGTCCAATTCCCCAGAAACCAAGTCTCCTGAAACTCAAAAACAGCTGCAAAGTCTACTTTGGTGTACCTAGTTAATTAAGTCATAGGTTAATGATTGTCAAATTGCAGTACAGAAACACACCATATAAAATAAAGATCACATTAAAACCTCAGGAAGGAGAAAAACAAAAGGACAAGGTTACTGGGTAAAAGTTATTTCAGTTATAAATGTCTTTCCCGCTTAGAGTGCATTTTTGAATAGAGAGATAGGTTCCCATTTGTTTTGTGGCATCCAGGTTTGCAGAGAGAGAGAGATTTAATTGCAGATTGTATTGCATTTATTAAGAAGGCAGCTTATCTCTTATTTGGCCTCTGTAGGTCTTATTTAAGAGTTTAATACTTAATAGAAGTCTGGGGGGTTTTCTGGGTGATGATTATTTCAGTATGTTTATATATTCACATTCATGGTAATTTCAGCTCTGTTCTGTTCCCCAGACAGACTGAGAAAGCAATTTGGAGGTGTTTTATTAAAATAATATTAGGACCACAAAACTTAATACATTTTTCAATGATAACATTTCAAATCTAAATTTTTAGTTTTGTCTCCTTGCAGTGGGGAGAAACTGCACTCTTTTTATTTGCACTCTCCTTCTTGCCTGAAGAAGCACAAACCAAAAGCTCTTCATGCTGGAAAGTTGGCTATACAGCTTTGGAGCAGTTTGCAACCATTTTTTTTTAATTTTGTGATGCCAGTCTGGAGGGTGATGGGAAATGAAACTAACTGTACATTAAATGACCACTAGGTCAGCTGTAGAGATGAAATTTAATAAAACATGTTATTTTCAGTATTATAGCTAACATGAACCAAATACACATTCCCAGTACTGTCACTAATTAAGTTAAGAACTCTAAATCCCATAAAACCCACAGGGCCACTTCCTGGAGGCATCTACAGTGGATATAAGAGCTCTACACACCCTTATTGAAATTGCAGTTTTTTGTGATTTAAAGCCAGAAATCAAGATAAATCATGTCAGACATTTTTCCATCTTTAATGTGACCTTGCAACCAACAAATTAAAGAGAAAAACAAATAGATACTTTTTAGGAAATATAATCTAAATTAAAAAACCTACAACACCCTGGTTGCATAAGTGCACACCCTTTTATAATGGGGGCTGTAGCTGTGTCCTGAGGTAAATAATCACATTCAAAATCATGTCCAAAAGTAAGTAGCATACACCTGCCATCAATGAAAGTGATTCTGATTAACTCCAAATAGAAATCACCTGTTCCTGTAGGATTTCCTTGAAATTTTCGTGGCTGCATCCAACTGGGATAGCCATAGTCCGCAAGGAGCTGACAAAAAATCTACGGGATCTTATTGTTGAAAGGTAACAATCAGGAGAGGGGTATAAAAGTATATCAAAGGCATTGGATGTACCAAGGAGCAATGTGAAGTCAGGACAACCCTCCAAAGTTGATGACAGGACAAGAAGAATAGTAGGAGGATACCAGGTTATTGATGTACCTTACTGTAAGGTATGTTATAGTATTCAACTAATTCATTTAAATGATTATTAAAACATTTTTTAAAATCTGGCTTCTTTTAAGTATTTACAGTATGCTAGTTTTAAATACAATGTGTTTTTAAAGTCACAATGTCTTATATACAGTATATGTCTTATATGTATTATATATTTTTAATAATTAAAATCCTAAACAAGTAAACCTGTTCTCCAATAATAAAATATTTGAGACAATATGTATACTATATTGACATTTTTATTAATTTGATAAATCATAGTATGTTTAATATTCACTTTACATTCATGATCCCTTAACCCCAGAGTGGCTACTAGGTACTGGGGACATATTAAACTGAAGAATGAATTTGATAAATCATATTCATTGTAACACCAGCCTGAACTCATATAGTATCTACATCTGTAACTAAATGGGTCATGTAAGGATGTGGTCAATATGAGAAGCTGTTTGGTGTTGTGAGGAGTACATTGTGAAGCCTTTAGAAGTTGAGTTGAAGAATCTCCATATATCAATTACATCCATTTTGGTACATAAATTGGTCACGGTCTTGGAGATTTTAGACAATGGCACATTACCAGGTGGCATCTTAGCTATCCTAGGACAGAATGAAAAACTGAAATCTCGCCCAAAGATTTCATTATTACAGTCCATAATAGTGAGTTGCTCAAACACATAAGTAAAGAATTGTTCATCTTGTTCAATAGGGGCATATATCTATAACCACTTCTTCCCCATAGAGTAATCCCTTAATTATAATGACTCCTCCACAATTATCCACATAATTTGAGAAGTTTGTAAGTGGGAGATTATTATGAATGAGAATAATGACATCTCACTTTTTGGTGGAGGATGATGAAATGCAGATTTGACCTACACATTCTCTTTTAAGTTTTTTATGCTCCATATCATTCAAGTGAGTTTACTGTAAAAGTGCTATTTGCATCTTATCTCATTTTAGGACATTCAGAATTTGTTTCTTTTCATTACGTTATTTGCCCCTTTCACATTCCAAGTACATATCTTTATACTATACATGGTGATTTTGTAGTTCTAACTAACACGGTGGCTAAAACACTGTATAATGCTACAAGACAGCGAATAAAGAGCAGCTGTTTGGTCACAATGCAAACATTTTGAAGAAAATAATCTTGCCTTGTCTTTGAGACCACACACATGAGGTAACAATACTTGTCACTAAGGAGAAGAGCCCCTACCTGCCCTCTGTTATGCTGCTCAGGGAGTGTTTGGGGTGCAGCTCTGGATCTCTACAGATGAGAGCTACTCCAGGTTCTACCCTCAGTACCACCAGCCTGTCCCAGTCTACCTGGAGGTGCGACTGTTAAACGCTCCAGACCCTAACCTGGTGCTACTGGTGCACTACTGCATGGCCTTCCCCAGCTCTGGTCAGGCTGCCTGGGTGCTGCTGTATGATGACTGCTACAGCCACACTTCCACCCTGCACATCCACTCCAGGCTGCCTCTGCTCAAGCACCACAGTAGCTTCCACATCTACACCTTCTAGTTCCTGGACAGCACCTCCTAATCCTACATCTACTTCATGTGCTCCACAGAGCCGTCTGAGTGGTACTGTGTGGAGGGCTGCTGTGATGGTCGGAAAATCCCAGTGCTGGAAAACCCAGATGTTGACAAGTGCTGCGTTGGAACATCCTGTCCTGGAAGAGGTGTGGCCCTTAGAGACTGAGGGACAGGTTAATCCTTCTAATAAACACGGTGCTTTTTGAATACTGGCAGCAGTCTGGGGTTCTCTGGTTAGTCAAGATGCATACCTTGGTTGTAAATGTTGTAACTTGTATGTTGTATATTTATGTTGAATGTTGCTTAATGTGCGTATTGCACTATTAATAAAGTTAACTTTATTTTAACTATTTAAAAACAAAAAACAAAATACAACTTGTCACCAGGATATTTAAAAAAGAACCTCTTTATCTTCTGAATAATGAATAATGGTAAGAAAGAGAAAAAAAGAACAGTATTAGAACAAGGTTACTAGACTCAGTCTGCAAACTAAGAAAAGGAACAAAATTGTTTAACTTCTCTGCTAAATTAACTAAAAGTTTCTGCGAGCCATGCAACTGCGACAGTCAGTAATAAGTATGCACAATTATAGGGGGTTCAACTATTACACTAAGAAAAAAACTGTCTACTCCTCGCCAAAAATAATTTGTCTTCAATTTTTTACGCAAAACTAGTACCATTTATGTTCTACACTTACCTTATAAAAACAATATCTCAAAAATACTGATTACTTAATAAGTCAGAGAAAAATTTCAGTCACTGTGCAGGCATGATGATTCAGTTCTCTGCTTGATCAGATTCACAAACTAAATCCAAGGCCACTCATTTATTAGTGGACGTTTCACTATTTAGACAAGGAAGATTGCTGTTGAATGGTTTTAAGAAACTTCTCTGCCTCTTTAACATTGGAAAGAGTAGCGGATCCCTCCGAGCCTTTAAAAATTTTAATGATTGCGGGGTACAGAAATGAATACCTCAGTCCAATATCGCGCAGCCAACTCCTCAACGCGGCAGTTTCTGCCCTCTTTTTCTGCACCTCTACCAAGAAGTCTTGGAAGATGGAAGTGTTTTCTCCTTTCTTTTTCCTCTACAATGATTTATTTCTTGGCCCTGGCTGCTTCTATTACTCTCTGCTTTTCTTAGTAGTTGTGTTGTCACATCAGCACCTCATTGTGCCTTCCCCAGATCTGTGTCGAATTCCCATGAGATGGCAATATTCCAGTTTGATTGTATCGCCCTTTACTTTCATGCCAAGGGTTTCTGGAATCCTTTTCTCAAAGAACTCAACTGGGTTGTTCCCTTCGATGTTCTCTCTTAGTCCCAGGATTCTTAAATTTTCCCACCAGCTTTTATTTTCGAAGTCCTTAAGACGATCCCGTATCCTGCACAAGTCTGCCTCAACCATTTGTACTCTACTACCCACCATCACACTACCATCTTTCAGTTCTGAGACTCACTGTTCCACTTCATCTACTCTTTTAATCATCATGTCCACTTTACTGGATATAGCAGAGACAGGTTCTTAAAACAGTGAGTTTAGTCTAGTACTGTATGTCAGTGATGTTTGCTGTTACTTTATCTATGATAAGGTTAGCCTCAACTGTACAGTTTCCACCGGCATGTTCTCCACCTTGGTCATCTTCTCTCTGATGTTGTCAAATCCTTCTTGACATTTTTATTTGGTTTTGGGAGAGGTGATTTTGTCCAAAGTAGTCGACAAGTGACTATTTCACCGTGAAAGTGTTATGTTAATGTCTTGTGTAAATTCACTATGTTCGGTGAAGAGTTTGACAGATATACATCCTTCTCCTTGCAGTGCATAGCCACCCCTCATATCAACATTTTCAATCAAATACGTCAAGCACTTAGCTTGGTATAGTGTAATTCACATGCATTGTATCATTTCAGTAATCTCCAAATGAAAAACAGGTGGTGTATTTGTCCTGCTTACATATTGACTGGAATCAAACTCAACCCTTTCTGCAAGCAAGAATTCTACCACAGAACTACCAATCCATCATACTAAGTGGATGAGTTAAATAGAAACTACAAGTAGCGTTTTCCAATACACTACAAAGAAGTGTTTTACAGTATAGAAATTATATAACTAAGTATGTACAGCAAATAATTAAAATGATCAATGTTATTATTGCTTACAGAGGAAGTAAAACCACACATTTCAAATTTAAATGAATTTAAAACACTGAAATAAAACTAGGATGGAATTACTGACACACTAAAAAATTGAATACTAGAATTTGAATACATTTAGTCAGAATCATTACGACGTGGGTTCCCTAAAAAAACATTTATACAGTGCTGAATTATACAGTATTAGCTCCAACACAATTTTTGATTGTAAAGCACATTTTTCAAGTCACAGCTAATTTATTTTGTTTTTAATGTGTTTATTTTATTTGAAATATGTTTTTAAAGCCACTATATATAATATAGTTTTGCAATCAAAATATAAATTAAAAAATGAAGTGGTGTTAGTGGGGCCTGCAAGGGGGTGCTCACCCTGCAGTCTTTGTTGGTCCAAATGCCCCAGTATAGTGAGAAGGAAACTATACACTCACATCCTGGTATGAGAACGTTCAGTTGACACATTCTCGCTAATCCAAACATGAAGATTTTGTATCTTGTAATTTGTTATAAGAATGAAATTTCGCTAGTGTGAACTTTGAAGTTCAAAAGTGACCGGTTTTGGACGAGAACCATTTGAATTTAGCACCACCGAACAGGTGTTTGTTTCTGCACGTGTACAAGGCATTGTGGTTAAGTGAGGCAGTAGTCCTTTGTTTAGATTGCAATTACAATACAGGAGAACGTGGATGGCGGTACTAAGAAAAGTAAGAGCAGAGGGATAAAGAATGGAACCAGTTAAGTAAAGGCTCTTCTAAAGAAGATTTTGAGTCTGTATTTGAAGGAGTTTAGAGAAGGTGACTCTCTGATATCCTTGGGGAGAGAGTTCCAGAGCTTAGGGGCATAACAGGAGAAGACCCTGTCACCCATACAATGTACACAGGCTTCGGGGACAGTAAGGAGACCAGAATTTGAAGAGCGAAGGTTGTGAGGTGGGGAGTAGGGTGATAATAGTTCAGACAGTTACTGAGGTGCCAAGCCATGCAGAGCCTTATAGGTGAGCATGAGGATTTAAAAGTCACACACTGAATTTCACAGGAAGCCAGTGGAAGGACTCCACGATAGGAGTAATGTGATCACTTGCACTAGACCTGGTCAGGATTTTGACTGCTGAAACATTTTGGACATACTGCAGTTTGTTCAATGTAGATTTAGATATCCCAGCGAGAAGAGCCGAGACAGAGGTCAATTCAGGAGAAGACAAATGTGTTGATCAGCTTTTCAGCCACAGTTAGTGATAACATGGGGCGTAGTCTAGGTAAAAAAAGATGTTTCTTGCTGTTGCTGTTCATTATGGGGTTTTAAGGAAGAGAAAAAGATTCTTAAGTGTAATAGTCAATAACAATATCCACATCGTTCTAGCTGATCACTTAGATAGCAATCTATTATGAAAGAATACAAAATGTATTATTTTACAGCTATAGTTGGTTTATTTGAGTAGAACTGCATTGTTCACCAAGCTTGCTATTACGGTCTATATGGTATTATATGTTTAGAGTGTTTTTTTATTTAACTTGCCGAAACAGGGTGGAATGTTCCCCATAAGAGATAAGTAATTTTTCTTTTCAATTTACGATCTCCCGCCTTTCGAACAGATTATCGGGAACAAATTAGGTTCGGATACCGGGGTATGAGTGTACTGTCAAAAGGCATGTGTTCGGATGAGACATAAAACCGAGGTCTTGACTGTGGTCAGTAAAAATTCCAAGTTGTTTCTCAAAAAGAGTAGGGGTGTTACCCCGGCGTCCTGGTCAAAGTTCCACCGATTATCTTTACCTATCATGGCCTCCTAATAATCCCCATTGGCTTCATTACTCTGCTCTCCTCCCCACTGATAGCTGATGTGTGGTGAGTGTACAGTGCACACTATGGCTACCATCACATCATCCAGGTGGATGCTGCACATTAGTGGTGGTAGAGGGGAGTCCCCATTATCTGTAAAGCACTTTGAGTGGAGTGTCCATAAAAACGCTATGAGTATAAGGAGGTATAATTATTAAAATATGTTTTCTTATTATTATTTACACACAATTACAAATGACATTATAATGTATACTGTACATAATTAAAAACAATGAAAACATCAGTTAAGTGTTACTGTAAAATACGATTAGTGCAGGAAAGCACTAATGGGGGATAATACACAGTTACTTTTTACTATAAGATTTACTATATGCAACAGACAGAGCTGACACACAGTACAGCAAGGATTCAATGTGTCACCTGGCAGTTTTACAGAGTAGTACTGTACATTCCTGTATCAGATAATTCAATAAAATAAAAAAGGTACTTTTCATCATACTGTGGCACTTGTCACGGTATGGCACATTACACTTTGAGTATTCTGATTGGCTGCATCTGTATATAAGGGTAAGGAATTATTAATTATTATTATTCAATTATTCAATTATTATTCTACTAGCAACAAAAACTGCTGGATGCCCACTCCTGTGAGTTTCCTCATATCTTATCACAGATTACATTTACAATTTAATACAATTAAAAAATAATTAATTTTTAAACTGTGAATTAAGATGAAGAGCACCAGTATTCGCCAGCTGTCTTAAGCCACACAAGTATAAGGATCCTTTGGTTTATTCACAGTTTAAAACCTGATTCACACTGGGCTAATGATCACCCCATTAACAGGTGTTTTTTTAAGTGTTTAATATAATGGAAATACAATGTGACTCTTAAGCCAACCTGCCACTCACATGTAGTATCCATTGATTTCTTAAAGGCCAGTTAAGAAAATGAGAGGGTTACTGTTTGGATAAGATAATACTGTGTGTGGTAAAACAAAATTACAATATAAGTGGTCCCATGACTCAATTTATTAAAAGATGAAAAGATAAAAAGAATGGGAATTTTACCTTTTCCTGATAAAGTTTGTGGAGCCAGTTTGCGCTCTCCTTTTCATCCTCTGGAATATCTTCAACAGGAAACCTCCTGCCATAAAATAACAAAGGTACCAGTCAGTCTGAAGACACGATCCATGGGTGTTTTACTAGTCAAAATCTAAGCTGTGGAGATAAGGTTTTCAGGCCAAGTTTTTGAAACCCAAGTGTGCATGTTAAATTCTACTTGCATGGAACCTACTGTAATAGCATTGGCTGAATACCTATGTGGCAGTGCTGTGGCTCTGTGGCTAAGGATCTGCACCTGTGGCTAAAAGGGTGCTGGGTTGTATCCCGCGACCGGCAGGGGAATCCTACTCCATTGGGCCCCTGAGCAAAGCCAGGGGTGCTGTATAAACGGCTGACCCTGTGCTTTGACCCCATGCTTCTCTCCCTGTCTGTGTGTCTCATGGAGAGCAAGTTGGGGTATGCGAAAAGACAAATTCCCTTATACAAGAAATTGCATATGGCCAATAAAGTGATCTTAATCTTAATATTAATAAGGACTCTAACATGACAATGCTGAGTTGGATGAGAACTGTCAGCATCAGTGCTCTGACTCTCACCATGACCTCCTCTCTGAAGAAGTTCCTCCTTCCACAATTACATAGTTCTGAAAAGAGGAAGGGACACCTTTGTGTAGATCAACATAGATCAACATAGATTGTGGGTGTCTGGAACAAATTGGCCAGCCATGTTAAGCAGAATGGGATAATCTAATTCATTATTCATTAGGAAAATTATTAGGAAATCGTTTTTAGGAAAACAATGATCAGAATGGTCCTCATGGCCACACCTGATAAAGGCTCCACAGCCAAAAAGTTGTGTCTCTTTTCGTTTCAGTGTGGAAGAAATCTTTACCTGGTCCTTTGCAGCCTATGCATGCTGACACAGCTACCTACTTAAACTTCTAAAAGCTATCTGGTTTTGATTTTTTTCCACTGAACTACACTTATCCCACAACCATGGACAACACTGTAACACCAGTTTGCAACTAGGTATAATAAGAAAACAGTTTTAAGGATACCACACAGCATGTATGCAAGCTGAAAAAAGCTGAAAAGAGGAGTAAAATAGTATTAGAATGTGAAAAGTGGATTAGTATAATATATGTTTTCAGATTGTGCTTTGTTGATCTTTTGTTTCTTCTTTTGTGGGATAAAAATATTATCCTTCAAATCTTAAACAATGAATTCCACAAGGGGACCCAACTAAATTATTCTAAATCCTTGAAGGGATTGTCAATGCAATGGATGTTATCAGAATAAATAGTGAAACACAAACCAGAGGACACAAAAGAAACCTACGTAAAAATGCATTTAAAACTGAGAAACAGGAAGTACTTCTTTGCACAAAGGGTTGCAGGAGTATGGAACAAGCTACATAGCCATTAGAGCCATTATCAAACACTTACTAAAACCAATAAGAACTTGCTTAGCTCTTTTTACCACCAGATGTATAAACTCCCAACTCAAAGTCCAGCCTATAAATATAAAGTCAATGTAAAACTTTTGCCAGTTTACAATTAGATTAAAGCCTAGTAATATTCAAAAACTGGTCATACTGATTATGATAAAAGCATAAAGCCTAATGACTGCAAAAAGCAAAAAAAAATTGGAACTCTAGCTATGAAGATAACTCTCAGGAGACTCATCGTGGCATACACTATTTCTGAAAAAACCCCGCAGGAAATTCAGTGTAGTGTACTCTAGGATTCAGTGAGGGGTAGCATAACTCTTAAAGATGAGTCGTGGGAAATTAAGTGTGGGGTACTATAGCTCTCATGAAGACTCTCAGGAGATTCAATGTGGGGTACTCTAGGATTCAGTGTGGGGTGCTCCAGCTCTAAATATACTATAACTCTCAGGAGATTCATTGTGGGGTATTCTAGTTCTGAAGAGAACGATCAGGAGATTCAATGTGGGGAACCACACTGGTTCTGAAGAGACATACTAATTTCCCTGTCTGAAATGTTTTTGTCAAAGCAGTATCTATTGAATCTAATACTAATTATCCACCAATTATTTGATTTGCCAATAAGTCATACATACTGCACGTATGTAAAAAAAGAAAATGACTGTGGACAATCAATCATCACATTAATTATTAATGTAAAACATTTGTTGGAGCTGATGGGTTATAAAAAACCTGTGGTGATGGGTAAATCAACTCAATCACATAAAAAAGAAGAAAAAAGGTTAGTTCCAGCGCAACCGAATTAAAGAAATGCAATTCCTACCTGACACATATGTCTGCCCCGTACTTCTTTCCATGTAGGATTCCTAATAGAGAGGGGTTCTTCTTGTCTTTGAAATTGAGGGTTACATCGTAAACTGCAGCAACTAAAAATTTAAAGCAATAGCATATTATCTTCATAAACTCAGCTTTACCCATAATCACAGAGAGAAAAACAATCACCAATTTTCTCTGCTTTTATTTTTCTACTCCACCTGACTACTCATTATTAACATTAAAATGAGAATTCTGGTGAATTAATTCCATGGGTTCTTTTATTCAAAAATATCCAAAATAATTATTATATTCCCTATGTGAAAGATGCAAAGCTAGCTTTCAGATGGAAAACAAGCTACTTAGAATTGACACAGCTTCACCCCATCATTCTCCAATTTGGAATACACATACATAGTTTTTATTTAAACCAAGCCTTTAGACACAGTTAATAATACTAATTCCTTACATTTATATAGGGCTTTTCTGGACACTACACTCAAGCTGCTTTACAGTTAATGGGTACTCCCCTCCACCACCACCAATCTGCAGCACCCACCTGGATAATGTGATGGCAGCCATAGTGTTGCTGTATGTTCATCAAACATCAAATATCAGTGGGGAGGAGAACAGAGTAATGATGCCAATTCATGGATGGGTATTATTAGGAGCCCATGATTGGGGAAGGCCAATGGGAAAATTTAGCCAGGACGCAGGAGTTAAACCTCTACTCATTTCATGAAATGACCTAGGGTTTTTAATGACCACAGCGTCCGTTTTACATATTATCCGAAGGACAGCGCCTTGTTATTGTACAGTTTCCTAGACACTATACAGGGGCATTAGGACTCACACAGACCTCAGGGTGAGCGCTCCCTGCTGGCCCCACTTCAAGCAGGAACCTTAGCTTTCCCAGGAGGTCTGCCATCCAGGCACTGGCTAGGCTCACACCTGCCAGTTCCACACTGGTCTGAAACAGTTGCATTTGTCCTCTAAAAGAAGTTCACAAAGCCCTTGCCCACACTGACAAAGGAAGGCCTGATTTCTAAAGCAAAGTTGGGTCTGGTAAGAATTAGGAAATTGAATGTTGATTGATAATGTGCGACAATGTGTCAGGCATTGATGGCTTGTACTCATTTAAGATGTTATCTGAAAGAGTAACTTCACCAATTTGTATTCTTTCAATTTTTCAATACATTGCAGGAACAAGCATCACAGAAACACAATATATAATGTTTATATTATATATAAACAAAATATGGAATAAAAATGATTAATATTTTTATAGCTGCTTATCAATCATTAAAAGCATTACAAGAAAATATCAAATGTATACATTAGTAGAGGACATGAAAAAAGTATCATCAGAGTATATTAAAATAAATTGGCAAAAAGAATATGAGAACAGAGGATGAATATATGCACATTTCAACAAGCTGCATAAGGTCACATGGAAAAACGTCTGTTGGAAAAACCTGATTTGTTTCTTACCTTGCCCCCAAAATATAAAAGTAAAACAAAAGGAAAATACTTCAAGGTGTTGGAGGTTATGGGGTTATGTGGAAAGCAGATAGTGATTCATTAACACATACCTGGTCCTTCCCAAGTGTACACTGTAAGTGGCAATTTATACAAATAACCCTTAATAAAATAGTAGATTTACTCACCTTTTAAATTCTGTTACATATCTGGGAAATTTTCCTTATGAGCAGATTGAACCAAAAGACAGATATATACTAGGCATTATCCAACTAGTAAAAAAAGCCATCACAAGAAAATGGTTTATTAAAGAACCTCCAACATCTGAACAGTGCATTGATATTGTGAATGAGATTAATATAATGGAGAAGATAACCTTTTTTTCTCAATATACAGTTAGGAATCAGCTACTGGTTATCCTGGAATAAAAAAAAAAACTATGTACTGGTTAAGACCTGAATTCACTTTTGAAGTAAAATGAAGTAAAATTTCTGTGTAGATGTTTTTGTTTTTCTGTAATGACCAAACGAATGTATTCGTAGATAAACTCATGTAATTAGTATATTTAATGTATATTTAATTAATGTATTAGTAAATAAGTTGTGGAGGTTTATGTATTAAAACCCAAAGTGTGTAGCAAAATGTGTACACATAATTTTTTATTTGTTCAGAAACTCAATCTGACAATTGAATTTAATTACAATTTGTGTGTTTGAACTAGTCTGAGACAATATTGTCAGACAACAAAGAAGTTAAGATCGTGTATTGGCCTCCAGCATATGACATTGACTTCTGAGGGCTAAGGACTGTTCACTAGATCTCCAGTCTGGACAGACATCCTCACCTGTTCCTTTTAAACACTGCAAAGTGGTAGTAAATCCTTTGGTCCGTGGTAGTAGGTGGTGTTTCAGTTTTGGGAGGCCTTTGGACTCTGCAACCTGCATGCTTATCTGGTGCTTCTTCTCTGTGAAGCGCGTCCCTTCACAGTAAAGGAGGATCTATAGAACAAGACAGTGCAGGAATGCATTGGGAGAGAAGAACTTGGTTAAAAAACTGTGTTTTTATATACCACAGCTGGGGAATCATTGGATTTTGAATATCAAGTAACAAAACATGCTCCACCACTGGGCAGGACAAGGCAATACAGTGGTGTGAAAAAGTGTTTGCCCCCTTCCTGATTTCTTATTTTTGTGCATGTTTGTCACACTGAAATGTTTCAGATCATCAAACAAATTGAAATATTAGACAAAGATAACACAAGTAAACACAAAATGCAGTTTTTAAATGAAAGTTTTTATTATTAAGGGAAAAGAAATCCAAACCTACATGGCCCTGTGTGAAAAAGTGATTGCCCCCCTGTTAAAACATAAATCAACTGTGGTTTATCACATCTTTGGAAAGCTGAGTTCAATTTCTCTAGCCACACCCAGGCCTGATTACTGCCACACCTGTTCTCAATCAAGAAATCATTTAAATAGGACCTGCCTGACAAAGTGAAGTAGACCAAAAGATCCTCAAAAGCTAGACATCATGCTGCGATCCAAACAAATTCAGGAACAAATGAGAAACAGAGTAATTGAGATTTATCAGTCTGGAAAAGGTTATAAAGCCATTTCTAAAGCTTTGGGACTCCAGCAAACCACAGTGAGAGCCATTATCCACAAATGGCGAAAACACGGAACAGTGGTGAACCTTCCCAGGAGTGGCCGTCCGACCAAAATTACCCCAAGAGCACAGCGACGACTCATCCAAGAGGTCAGAAAAAAACCCCACAACAACATCCAAAGAACTGCAGGCTTCACTTGCCTCAGTTAAGGTCAGTGTTCATGACTCCACCATAAGAAAGAGACTGGGCAAAAATGGGCCGCATGGCAGAGTTCCAAGACGAAAACCACTGCTGAGCAAAAAGAACATAAAGGCTCGTCTCAGTTTTGTCAGAAAACATATTGATGATCCCCAAGACTTTTGGGAAAATACTCTGTGGACTAACAAGACAAAAGTTGAACTTTTTGGAAGGTGTGTGTCCCATTACATCTGGCGTAAAAGTATCACGGCATTTCAGAAAAGGAACATCATACCAACAGTAAAATATGGTGTTGGTAGTGTGATGGTCTGTGGGTGTTTTGCTGCTTCAGGACCTGGAAGACTTGCTGTGGTAAATGGAACCATGAATTCTGCTGTCTACCAAAAAATCCTGAAGGAGAATGTCCGGCCATCTGTTAGTGACCTCAAGCTGAAGTGCACTTGGGTTCTGCAGCAGGACAATGATCCAAAACACACCAGCAAGTCCAACTGAATGGCTTAAGAAAAACAAAATGAAGACTTTGGAGTGGTCTAGTCAAAAGTCCTGACCTGAATCCGATTGAGATGTTGTGGCATGACCTTAAAAAAGCGGTTAAGGCTCGAAAACCCTCCAATGTGGCTGAATTGCAACAATTGATGATGAGTGGGCCAAAATTCCTCCACAGCACTGTAAAAGACTCATTGCCAGTTATCGCAAACGCTTGATTGCAGTTGTTGCTGCTAAGGGTGGCCCAACCAGTTATTAGGTTTAGGGGGCAATCACTTTTTCACACAGGGCCATGTAGGTTTGGATTTTTTTCCCCTTAATAATAAAAACCTTCATTTAAAAACTGCATTTTGTGTTAACTTGTGTTATCTTTGTCTAATATTTCAATTTGTTTGATGATCTGAAACATTTCAGTGTGACAAACATGCAAAAAAATCAGGAAGGGGGCAAACATTTTTTCACACCACTGTACCTGTTGAATTCCAGTATTTCTGACGATGACTAGGACCTACAGGTTCCCTTTTAAATTAATAAAATTTTGAATGTGAATTGCAAGTGACCATGAAAAGAGTTTAAAAAATCCTTACAATGCATATTTTAGCGATAAAACTCTCACACATAGCAAGTTCTCATCTATTTGAAAGAACATACAACAAATGCTATTTTAACTTCTTAAAGAGTTTAATGGGATACAATTCCATTGTGTAATCTTGCACTACTTATTGCATACAATATTATGTTTTTTTATGAAGATACAATTTTAATAAACAGAATCTACACAATGCCCCCAATAATGTAATCTTAGTAGCATTTTATGTGCCTATGGAATCTTTTTCTTTTAAAGTTATCACTGTTATTTCATGACACTAACACACATTAATCTAACCAACATGCCTAATATTCAGTTACGTCCTTTGGTTCAAGAAGCGGCAGGTCTCTTCAGTGAACAAGGTCCCTTTGGGAAATAATTTCCTGCTTTTTCGCTAGGCATTAAAAACTACTTCAAATGGGAATGGTGACTGAGAGGAAAGAGTGCCACCTACTGGCACTAAATGTAACATTGCAGAATCTGACATTAGCAATCTTACATTGGAGCACAGGTATAATGTGTAGGCATTTAAAATGGCTGCATTCAAAAGGGTATTCTTGCAAAAGACCTTGAAAATTAAGGAAGGTGTAGCCTGGGGCTAGCCAAAGATTCTGGCTGAAAGAAAGCTTGTAACAAAACCCAATCCAGGCATGTCAGTATTTGCTAAATACTGGACAGGATAAAACAGATCAATATCTGCTGCATATCAAAGGACAGAACCTAGAGCAAGACAGAGCAGGACAATACGTAATTACATATCAAAGAACAGGACAAGCACTCAGATTGTGAAATAAACTTCATTCTGATTGTATATAAGAGCTGGTTCTGTGGGGTAGACCGAGCGTGCACGTTGCAGTCATTATTGAGCTCAATAAAACTGAATCTTCACAAGACTGTGTCCTGCTCCTCCCATGGTTTTTTTGTATAAAGACAACAGGAGAGGTGATAGGATCCCTGTCTTGGACCTCTTTTTATGCTGAATCTATCAGAAAGATCTTGATTTGTGTTGTTGTGTTGTTGGATTTGAATAAATTATTTGAATTATATTTATAAATTTATCAGATAATCCAAATCTCTCTAGTGTCATACATAGAAATTCCCAACTGACTCAGTCAAAGGCTTTTTCTGCATCCAGTCTAACCAAGGTTGCCCCTTTATTTTGATCAGCAATATGCATCATAATATGGAATGCGTGTCTGATATCATCTTGAGTTTGTCTGTGAGTTCTAGTTTTATCTTTTCCCTCTTTTGGAATAACAGAAATAAAAGCTTCTTTCCAAAAAGGTGGACAATCTCCAAGTTCCCTTATTCAATTACAGGTGGACAGGAGGATAGAAGCCAAGTGATTTTTGAATACCTTATAGCAGTGGTTCTCAAACTTCTTGGACCAGGTATCACCCCTAATTAAATCAAAGCATCCAAGTACCACCTACAAGTCATCTTCTCATAGGAACCACAGAAAATCTCAATGACCAACATGAGCGCGCACACACACTCACACACACACATAATAAAAATAGCACTAGGCACTTAGTTAATTTGGAATTTACCACCTCTTTCCAACGCTTGCTAACATGAGCAGTGCTGTCTGTATCAGGATTAGCAGCAGAGCTAGTATCGGTGGCCATTAGGGTTACCATACATCCGTATTTTTCCAGCCATGTCCTCTATTTTGATTTTCACCATGAAGAACAATTAACAAAAGTTATAAAGACAGTTGGAGAGAGAGAGAATTTCTCAACTTCGTTTGCTTCGTAACCTACAGTACATTGTCACTCAGTTTTCATCCTGTACGTGTATGATTATATCATGACAGAGCAAAACCAGTGTCTTTACTCAGTATGTGCAGTGCAGAAGCATTCCCTCAAAAGGCTCCCTATTGTTTCTCTATTCCTGCCCTCAAGCACAATGCCAAAGCAAAAGTATCAATTCACAGCAGAACTAAAAAATAAATTTAAGCGTTTTCGAAGTGGCAGAGAAGACTGGGAAGCTGAATGTTTGGTGTGTAAGCCTGGTACTTTTGTCTCCGTGGCAAATAAAGGTGTACTTGAATTGCAAGCTCATGTTGACTCAGACAAACAAAAAAAGGCAATTCGAGGCGAGAGATTTTCAACCAAATTAACAGATTCTGTTGTCAAATCTATCAGCAAAACAAAGGATACTGTTATTGCAGCAGAGGGACTTATGCATTTCACATAGTTAAACATCCTCACTGTTGCTTTACCAATGAACATACATGTGGGATATTTAGGACACCCTCTCCATCCCGACCCCTTTCCAAGATAAGATAAAGTTTCTTAGGGTATCCTCTTTTTTAAAGTTCAAATATGGTAACCTTTGTGGCCGATGTACAATCCTCCTCATTCTCAAATGGGGTGCGTGATCTATCAGAGCTGGTGTAAGTACTTTTGGCGTCTATTCTTTTCAGCCATGACATAATACTTGATTTTTGTGAGGTATGAGAAGTAGAGTCGCTGCTCCTCCAGATCGAGAGGAGCCAGTTGAGGTGGTCTGGGCATCTCATAAGGATGTCCCCCAGTTGGCTTCCGCTGGAGCTGTTCCAGGCACGTCCCACTGGGCGGAGACCCCGTGGCAGACCCAGGACACCCTGGGGGAATTATATTTCTCGGCTAGCTTGGGAGTGCCTGGGGATCCCCCAGAAGGAGCTGAAATCTGTTGCTGGGGACAGAAAAGTCAGGGCTGATCTACTCGGCTTGCTGCAACTACAACCCTCACCAGGAAAAGCAGGGTGAAAATGGAAGGATGGAAGTTTAATGACTTGCGCCAGGCGAGAGCCATTGCTTCATGATCATCCAAAAACATATTTCCCGCTTAGGGTGCATTTTTATGGATAGGGATATAGGCTCCCATTTATTTTGTGGCATCCGGGGTGCAGAGAGAGAGATTTAACTGCAGGTTGCTTTGTATTTAGTTAAAGAGTTTAATAAGTAGTAGGAGTCTGGGGTTCTGTGGGTGACCACAATGCTAGGCCTCTGAAACACTTTTGTAAATACTGTTCATAGAGTAATTTGTGTGTTGTATGTTTTGTTGTGTGTAGTATAGTTTGTGTTTTGCCATTGTAATACATATCTGTTTAACCATTAGTTCCTGAATTATTACTCCTCTCACCAAAGCTCTGCCAGAGAACAAAGAATTCATGTGCCTCTAATTCTACCAGGCTCTCAGGTACATTGCTAGAAATCACTTACAAGTTAGGGGGTTATGAATAATTATTTCACTTACTGTTTAAAACCACTCTGTCCAATCCTGATTTTCACCAGTTTTGTAACTATTTGTAACAACACAATATAATAAAGTTAATAAAAAAGTAAGCAAATTCAATTTTATGGATGCATAGATCTTAAATATGAAGTTTGGAAGCATTTTCCCTTAAGAAACACTAAGAGAGAACTAAAAGGTAATTTAACAAGGTGTTTTTGTGCAGCTAGCCACAATGCCCAAAGGCAGTGATTAGACACTGCTTAATTAGCTGTCACCCATTTGAAAAGAGGTTTGTGCAGTTAGACACTCACCCACATGCACTCAGGATAGTCAGCAAGGTTTTTCAGTCCACTGATGACCTTGTCTCTGTCCTCTTCCCATTTTCTTTTGCAAAACACAATTTCCAAGAAGTACCACGTCCAACCAATCAGTGGCACTTTCAACAGCTCCTGCTTTGCAAGGACTTTGGAGCTCTAAAAAAAGAGATGAAGATTAAAGACATCATGTTAGAAAAGCTAAAATGCTCATTCTAATATATGTGTCTTTATCATCCAAATGAGCAAAGGAAGTGTGAAAAGCCAGGTAAATAGCGTCATCAGTGGTATGCAACTTCTCTTCCAATTCTTTTGTTACATCTTGTTCCCATGGACAGTTCCATTTGTTTTCAGCTACAGAGGGAATATAAGTGTAAAGATAAAACGAAAAGGAGAAGATGATGAAAACCTCCTATAATCTGATTCATTTAATAATGTACCTAAAATATGGCAAATAATAAGAAATAGCATAGGCTATATGCAAAAAGGATACTTAATCAGTAGCAGTAACAGTTCTTTTTACTTCACCATGTTGGATCATATTCAGCAAACAGTCACCACAGTGGAAGGCTATCATTGTATAATGCAAGGACAGAGTATTAGTTGCTGCCTCCTTTGCAATATAAAAATATTAGCCTCAACATGGATGTAACGGTAAACTAAAAGCATAAAAAACACGGCCAGTCCAAAAATGCATATTGGAGGTTCAGGTTTAACGTAAAAGAAAATATAGCCTCATTGTACTGACTGCCTCATGAGTCATTTCAATTTCAGACCTACTTGTGTTTTTGGCATGTCACATGTGCTGCTGAAAAACTTTACATAATTGTATGAGATTTACTTAATCTACCACTGAAGACAGCAGCCCCTGTGTCTCAGCTACACAGAAGATCAGACGGAAGTTCAAGAAAATACTTCACAAATTGAATTAAGGGGAATGTTCAGGTACTTCACATAGTACAGTACATGTCTAGAGTGGAATTTAGAAAGGATACCAGAGTTAACACCCCTGTTCTTCTAAAAAATGCCCCATCTTTAAAAACCAAGTAGTCAGGACCTTAGTTTCTCATCTGAATGCCAATATAAATAAGGTTTTGCAATTCCTGATCTGGAGGGAAAAATGCCACCTTCAGTTCAGTTTATTTCTGATATGCACAAGTGGAATGAAATACTTATTTGCAATCATGCTCTGTTACAAAGGCATTAAGGCTTCACCAAAAACATAAACACAGAATAGAAACAGCAATAGCAAAAAGTTAAGAAACATACAACTTAAAAAACAAGTCAGATAAGCAGTGTGAGAGGAGGAAAAAACATCAGAGGTAGGGGTAGAGATCAGTAATCTGACAGCTTGCAGGAAGAAACTGTCTCTGAATCTGGAGGTTCTTGCCTTTATGCTCCTCTAATGCTTACCAGAGGGAAGAGGAGAGAAAAGTGAGAAACCAGGATGATCGGAATCCTTACTTCCAGCCTTCCTGAGACAGCAAGTTGTAAAATTTCCACAACAGGGTGGAGCTGTACTCCAATAATGGACTGGGCTGACCTGATCACGCCTTGTAACGCCTTTAATTCAATTAAATTGATTTTTATATAGTGCCTTTCACAACAAGGTTGCCCCAATGCAAGTGACCATACATGTTGTCAATACAGAACAGAAAAGACCAAAAACTCCTTAGTAAGCAGAAAAAAAAAACGTCCATACTAAATTAAAAAAAAATTAAATTCCAGTCAATGAGCTGCTGCGAAACTACACTGTTATACCACACGTTAACACACTAAACTGTACTTCTGTTAGTGACTTTTGTCTCTGCATATAAAATATTGCATTCACCCTCCCATTTTTACCCTAATCAGACACCTTGATTCATGAGTTTGATTGAATGAGCCTGTTTCATCACAGCAAAAACTCAGTCAAATACAAAGTAATTTTTTATCATTGAAGATTTTAAATATATAACATTTATAAATATTAACAATTATGCTCTGTATTTCTCTGTGTATTTTTATTAACCATTTGTGAAAAAGGTCACATCAGGAATCCAGCCACAGGAAATTCAGACTACATCTGGAGCAACGATTCATTCCAATCATAAAAGTCAATGCTCAAAACTTGTATTTGAAGTGATGTGATCCAAAACAAATACAGAGGAATATAGAAAGAGACTAACCCCCAACACGCCAAATCGCTCACACATGGTCCAGCCGCACAGGAAGTCGATTTCAAAGTTATGATTGAGAATGATGATGGCGTGCTCCTTCCCAAACTTGTCGACTGTGGCCTGGTCAGTGAACAGGGTACACTTGGTTCCTGACCACCACTCCAGCAACATCACCAATTCTGGGTAAGGGAACAAGAGTGCACACATGAAAAATGTGAAAAAATCTTATTATTCTGAACTCACAGATATATTTCTATTTTATGTGCTCTCATTTTCAAATCACCAATTCTTAATCAACTCAGAATACCATAGGAAGAATGAGAATTTGTGCACATACTTTTATAACATGCCCACCTGACACAACCATTCATCTTTTAATACTGCTGCTAGCCCCACCTGTGCCTGGTAGGAAAAGTAATCACTGCTTTGGACACAGCAAGGGTGCCCTAGCCAGCTCAAGCCCTCTCCGAACACAGAGGTCCTCTGTTACGTCTGTAATGCTGCCTGTAGAACAGCAAACTACATCTGGCTCGTATTTGGCTGACACAACCCAATCATATCAGTCACATCCATGCTACAGTATTAAACGTCTTAACTGATTTTAGGACAGGTAAGAACAACTTCATGCATGATTTTACAAATCATCTCTGGTGAAAACTTACCTACAGGTCAAAGTGCCTGACAAACCAGGTAAAACATACATCAAGTTTGAATGCTAAAAAAATGTTGTTTGCTTCCTACCCCACTCTTATTAAAATGTTAATCTTTAACACTCCAATACAAAAATGGATTGAGTTTCTGAGTGTAGTCTGAGTAATATCAGATGCATTTTAATAGGATTTCTTAATTAAAACATTTAACAGTTAGTTACATTAACAATGTAACATGAATACACTGCAAAAAAAGTAAATACCTGTTTAATGTAGAGAAGTACAGGGTATTACAGTACATGCAGTTAATAAAAAGAAGATGCTACTTGTTAAAGATGCGTAGGTGTTAATCCTGAAATATAATTTACATTTTCTAGACAATGTGGAGAAGCAATTAAAAAGGCAAACAAAATGATTGGATAGATAAGTTACAGCATAGAATTAAAATCAAGAGATGTTATGAAACTTTATAATACACTTAAAAGGCAATATTTAGAATATTGTACACTATTGTGATCACAACATCACAGAAAAGATAGCTACTTTGGATCTGTCCAGAGAAGAGCACCTAAATACATTCCAGGGCTTCAGGGAATATTCTATACCGACAGGCTGAAGAAACAAACCTTATTGGCCTTTTTTTTTAAACAAAAAAGACTATAGTAGACCTGATACAAGTATTCAAAAACAAAAAAAAAAGTTACTGATGAAGTCAACCCAGCTGATTTCTTCAGAATGAATAGTGAAACATCAACCAGTTGGTACAAGTATAAACAATGCTGATTCTTTCTACTCCCACAATATAAAAATAGTGTTGCAGTTCCTTTTTAATTCATTAGAATGATTCCAAAGAGACTAGATGGATTGAATGGTTTCTTTTTGTTTGTAACCTTTATGTTCTTAAGCAAAATCAATCTGTAAAGTGGCTGCTAATATAACTGTAGTTTTAACTTTAAGAACAAAGTAATGGTAAGTCTTGGTTTAAGCAAGATCCCAATTTTAATGTCTGTTCAATTATATTCTAGTGATATTTTATCACTAGAATGAAAACTAGAAAGCTCAGATTATCGTAACAGTTATGAGGTGCAAATCAGATGCTTTCAATTCAACAGGAGTGGTGCTTTCCTAAACATAAGCAGTATGAAATCTGAGAACTAAATGTCAGCCATGTGGCCATATTTGTATGCACAGGAATGGCACTGCGTTAGATATTAATAACATGCTCACTAGAATAATACTTACCAAATATTCAGCAAATTGGTTAAATAGGTTTTAAAGTTGGTCTTACCAACATTAACACAAAGAAAAGTAAATGGCAGTCTGAAGGCCATCTTAATTTATACAGGAATCACATTTTCACATCTATTAGTCTTGTTGATACTAGTAGTAACTACTTTTATTAATTAAATCTGTCATATATTTGCCAGATATTTTTTCTGATGGAATAGTTTGCAGGTGTAAAGACTATTATAGCAAATTTTTACATGCAAAATTTCAGTTTCAATGTAAGATGCCTTTACTTGTTCTCATTACAATGTTAAGGACACTATTTTGATGGTCACACAAACTATGAAGAGTAATTGAACAAAAGAAAGTGGAATGAATTTGATCTTTTTGAATTTCTAATGGACTAAGTTTTTCAAGTGTGAGAGTGAGTGGTTATGATGTTGAGTAGTTTGATTCATTTGTTATTTGATGTTCAAGCTCCTTGTTACTTTAAGAAATAATAAATTACTACTTTTACCAATTTACACAGTTACTCAAGAATACAATTTTTAGAACCAACTTACCAACTTACAACCTTTTTGTTGTAAATCCACCTGGGCAATAGACACCAGGGTGGATCATTACAACATTACAATGCATAACACCTTTTGATTTTTTTCAAATAATCTGGTGCAGGACTGCATTACTTTGTAAAACCACGTTGCACTGTAGCCCTTAACATGACTTGTGCCTAACATAATGTACTAACAATAACTTATTTTATAAATGAAATTTAAATTGTATTAATCCATTAAGTGTTTTCCTGAGCTAGTCGTATTGTACAGTAATATTAACATTTTAAGTTTTTTCATTAAACACAGCATTCAGAATTATTCACATTTGTGTATAGTGATTGATTGTAAAATATTATACATAGTGGATTTAAAAAACATTGTCAGGATCAACTTTAATTGCACAAACAATTCTATTTTTACAAATGGGGAGTTACAAAAATGGTGAAAATCAGTAATTGACCAAGCGGATTAGTCAATAAGTAAATATTCATAACCCCAAACTTTTAAGTGCTCTTTCCAGAATATACCTGAGTGTTGGAATAATTAGAGACACGTGAATTCTTTGTTCTCTGACACAGCTTTGATGAAAACAGTAATTATCCAGGCATACTTGGTTAAACAAATATTTATTACAGTTAATAGGTTTATTCCATGCTGAAAAAAAGAAGAAAGAGAACACAACGTTTCGGCCGTGGAGCCTTCTTCAGGTGACACCTGAAGAAGGCTCCACGGCCGAAACGTTGTGTTCTCTTTCTTCTTTTTTTAAGCATGGAATAAACCTATTACTTGTTCCTTTGCAGCCTACGCATGCTGACGCAGCTACCCACCTGAACTACTATTTATTACAGTGCCAAAGACACAAACTCCACTACACACAACAAAACATACAACACACAAGTTACTCTATATACAATATTTACAAACAAGGTGTTTCAGAGGCCTTACATTCTGGTCACCCAGAAAACCCCAGACAGCAACTAAGCATGAAACTCTTAATGCCAATAAAGACCACATAAAAGACAAGCTGCCTTCCAACTAAATACGAAGCAACCTGCAGTTAAATCCATCCTTCGGATAAGACATAAAACTGAGGTCCTCTCTGTGGTCATTAAAAATCCCAGGGTGTTCCTCGAAAAGAGTAATTTGGCGTCCTGGCCAAATTTCCCATTGGCCATTACCAATCATAATAATCCCCATCTCTGAACTGGCTTCATTACTCTGCTCTCCTCCCCACTGATAGCTGGTGTGTGGTGAGCGTTCTGGTGCACTATGGCTGCCATCGCATCATCCAGGTGGATGCTGCACATTGGTGGTGGTTGAGGGGAGTCCCCATTACCTGTAAAGCGCTTTGAGTGGAGTGTCCAGAAAAGCGCTATATAAGTGTAAGCAATTATTATTATTATTATTAAATCTCTCTCTGTACCCCAGATGCCACAAAATAAATGGGAGCCTATATCTCTAGCCAAAAAATGCACCCTAAACAGGAAAGACGTTTCTAACTGAGGTATCTTTAACTCACTTTAAAATCACAAAATAGCAAGGTTCAAATACATAGCTCCAGTCAGGCTTGGTTTGGATGATCAAGAAGTAGGGGCTCTCGCCTGACACAAGCTTTAACTTCCAACTCCTCTGGACTCTTCTCTTCCCTGCTTCTTCTTCCTGTCCTTTCTTCTGTGCACTTAATTTGATCTTATATTATGTGTGTCTGTCCTGCTCCTTGACAATCATTAACCCACAACACTAGGTATATTAAGGTAAACTTTACAATTATTTCAGTTCAAGGGACCCCCAGACCTCAGCAAACATCCTGTCTGTTTTGAACTTAGAAGTGTTTATTCTTCCAAGTGTCACAAACCTTATCTAGAATCTAAGAGACAATTCTCAGTAGCTTAAAGCTGTAACACATCAGCAACTGTTGCCAACATTTTCATTTTCATGGAAACATATCAGGAAATTGGATTATAGGTCACTACTGTATGTATTAAATTGGCTTATTCTAGATTCTAGAATTCTAGAGTGTGACATCTCTGATTTACAAAATGAAGTAAAATATACCCTTCATTTGCTTTGTGAGGGAGACAATGATTTAAATCTTGTCTTAAGGCTTATTATACAACCTAAATGATAGAAGGAAACTGAAATAAAGATAAAAAAACCTTTTTTCAATAACAAAATATAATGTCACACTCCCACGTTTAATCAATTTTTTTGTTTCACAAATTACTTACCAGTGGCTCAGTGATAGAATTCTCACCCAATTTATGAGACACGGTCCGCCCAATCCCAGACAATACAAAAATTATGTTTTTAACAATTTGTCCCTTAATTTTAAATTATTAAATCTAAAATCTAAAAAAATTATAAATGTTTTTTTGCTTTTGTCTTCTTAGAAGTTGATATAATTATGTTTTTTATAATCACTTAACTTCATGATGAAGTTGATTAAGTGCTTTCTCACTTAGTGCCTATATCTGCTTATATTTTCTTATGTAACACCGGAAGGATTGTCTCCTTGCAGTGGGGGGAGAGAATCTGGGTGTGAGCGCTCTCCTTTATTTCCACTCACCTTCTTGTCTGAAGATGCCCATACCACAAGCTTTTTATGCTGTAAAGATGGTGAGGAATTAAGAAATGTTAAACTACTCTTTTTTAATCTTTCTTGCTTCCCGGCAAAGAATTAAACTGTCCACCTATGTGCTGTGTCAGCATGACTAAGAACAACATGAGCACAACACCTTATAAAATGTTGACCATATATCCTCTTTTCTGAAGCTGTGCTCTAAAACGTACCATGTATAGAATGGTTTGTCCATTAACCCAGCTCAAGAACATTGTGTGTTGACATTTGTTAAGGATATTACATGTGTTGTCTACGCCAAACTTTGTTACACTGTACAAAAGGACTAACTTTATAACCATTCGGAGAGACTGGCTGCAGGCTGCCCTCCTGTATACATACAAAATAAACGACTCTTCTTTCACCGACAGGAGGACTCTGTGATTTATATGACACAACACTGGCCATACAACTTTAGAGAAGTTTGCAATTATTTTTATTTACTTTGTGATGATAAACTATTTTTTAATAAAACAACTGCTAAATCAGCTATACAGAATTAATTTAATAAAAATGTTCTTTTTAGAATAATATCTGACATTGGGGATGTATCAGATAATAAACTGAGGAAGAGGGGCAGGAGATGGTAACTTCAGCCCCATCATCCAACCCTCTTGGACAGACCGAGAAGGCAATTTCAAACTATCCAGTTATTAAAATGGGTGCAATGTCAAAAAGATAAGCACATTTCCAAGATAATACATAAGTTATTAATAATAAGTTATGAACAATGGCAGCCACGAGTCCTGGTGCCATGAGGAAAAAAATACCTTAAATAAGACATAGAATAGATTATTTTAATTAAAATTATATCAAGTTTCCATCTCTTTTGTGACAATCATGACATTTATGAAAAATGAAGCTTATTAGTTTTTGAAGTATTCTCTGCCACATTAAAATATTTTAAACTAGTTTAGATTTAAAATAAAATCATGGGCCCAACAATATATTCCATTTAAAGATCAAAGAGTGACATCATAATTATACTATAGCATTCATAATGTATGTTATAGCCATGTCACTTGATCTAGAGAACACAATGCGGTGTCATTGTACTGTATGCAGTTGGGGGGGGGGGCCTTCATGTTCAGGGTAACTTCCCAGATCCGCGCTTGAGTACTTTAGTGCTCTGTACTAACCATACTTCTTTAAATCCACTAAATAAGGAATATTAATATGGAATTCTGTAGCTAAACAGAAATTTAAGTAGCTAAAAATAAAAACAGTATAGTAAAAATTAATGTATGTATAATAAATAATGAAAATAGTAATATACATATATAGCTGGTAGTGCTAGCTACCATTAACATTTTCTGCATCAAAGTCTTCAAAACACTCATCAGTGTGACCCATTGCCGATGTAGCACCTTATTTTTCAGTTTATGTTACTTATAACACTTAAAAAACAAAATTGCTAATTATATCAATACAGTGCCTTATTTTAATGACAATGCTTCTACTAGTTTAGCAAGGGAATTTCTCCTTGATTGATATGCATTACTGCATGCATTTTCAAATTCATTATTGAAACAACCTATAGTTTCTAGTTCATTTTTTTGCCTTTTCTGCAAAATTAACATCATGCAGGTGAAAAACCCCAAAACACTTTGATATTTTTTTAATATTTTTTTTTTATCTAACAGTTTTCATGTTTGCTAAATTGAATTTGAAATATTTCATGCTGTTTCGAATGCAATATAAACCATGAAAGGGAGAATACAGAAAGAAATCCTGAAGCGTTTAAACTGAAATGGAATGGAGGAGAAGCCTTAGAAAATCCTAAGAAAAGTTTAGGGGGAGCAAATGCAAAAGAAGAAGTAAATGGAAAATCAAAACAAAGGACCTGCTAATTAACTGGTTTACCTACATACTAGGAGTATTAGAAACAAATTAGAGATAGAAGCTACCTTTATCTCATAACCAGGCAATTATGATATAACTGGAATCACAGAAACATGGCTAACAGAAGACAATGAAGATGAATGTAACAACAGTGTACAGTATATGCTACCCTGTTAAGTATATACAGAAGAGGTGTCGAACTAGATATCAAAGAATGTTAAGGATATAAAGCTAAATGGATCAACAGTCTCTTAGGTATCGAGTTGGGAGCATGCTATAAACACCAAATAGTTCAGGTGTGTAGCTGCGTCAGCATGCGTAGGCTGCAAAGGAACAAGTAATAGGTTTATTGCATGCTGAAAAGAGAAGAAAGAAAACACAACGTTTCGTCTGTGGAGCCTTGTTCAGGTGTGAACTCACGAAAGAAAGCTCACACCTGAAGAAGGCTCCACGGCCAAAAGGTTGTGTTTTCTTTCTTCTCTCCATAAACACAAAATGCAGATAATGATTATAATTCAACATTATGTAATGAAATTAAGAACTTAAGTTAAAAAAAGTTATTTTAATGGGAGATTTCAACTTTCCCTTCACAGACTGGGGAATACCAATGGGAATGTGGATGAACCACAGAGTGCTAATTTAATAAACATGGCTTGTTTTTATATAGTAGCTTGCATATGTGTCCTCATTCTGGATGAGCACAGAAAAAGATGAAGATCTATAAAAATGATCTGAAATGTGCATCACATTAATTCATCTGAACTATTATGGGCAGACTGGAATCAGGCTATGGCCGTAAATTCATAGAGACCAGCTATTGTAATGGGTACAGGTCCCCAAAGGGAACATGTTAAAATAACCAGAGCTACACAGTAGAAAAGATGCAATTAGAAATACAGAAAATGAGAATGTACTCCTTGGATAAAAGAAAAGACATGTGACTTACGGCTCCAGAGGGAGTAGGAGAGGCGGCAGTTGACTCTGCGGTACAGCTGTTTGTTGACTGGCCAGAGGACAAGTGTGCATAGCTGGATGAAGTTAATGATGAGTCCGCTCACTACAAACACGAAGCTTATAAGCAAGTGCAGGATGAATTGAGTCTTCAGGTATGCAATGAAACCCATGATAGGTGTCAATAGCGTTTACACGGTCCTTCACTCAGTACAACAGACCTGGAGAAGAAAAAATTGGAACTTTTTGGCATTCTTTAAACACAGTGCAAACGTTTTATTTTGATTATACTCATTGCAATCCCATATAGGTCATCTCACCATACAGAATATTCCAAACAAGGCTGCTTCCTGAAATCATGATCACATGATTTTTTTCCCTTCCCTCTACTTTCTGATCTGAGTAGATCAAGTAGGTAGCTTTGCCAGCGTGCGCAGGCTGAAAAGAAACAAGGAAAGGTTTATTCCATGCTTAAAACAGAAGAAAAGAAACACGTTTTGGCTATGAAGCCTTCTTTGTGTGTGAGTGAGAGGAATTGTGTTTCTTTTTTTCTCTTTTCAGCTTGGAATGAACCTTTACTTGTTCCTTTTCTGACAGAATACTTTTCTACACATTCTTTTCATATTTCATTTTTTCTTTTGACTTCTCCTGACACAATCTTCACAACATTTTTAACTAAAAGCAAAAATAATTACATGCTAGCATGTTATAAAGTGCTTTGTTATAGTGTGGAATCAGTTATAAATTACTTATGATCATGGCTCCCACTTCTCTCATACTGCAATATAACTCGAATGTTCCAGATAAACAGTAGGAAGCAAGACAGACAGCAGAAACCAAAGCCTATTCTTTGTTAATATTAAAATCATTATGCCTGATACATTTTCAGGAAAAACTTTCAAGTCTAAAAACTCTAAAACTTTGTGGAGGGCAATAGTATAGGTATAATAGTCTGAGTCCAAGCATAGGACAAAGGAGATCAACTCGATCAGCTCAATTTTAATGAAGGGCTTTTTATTCTCTGGCACAGCTCTGGTGATAAAGTTATAAATCAAACTTGCACAAGACAAATATTTATTAACAATTAATACAACTACACAACACACAATCACACAAGGTGAGACAATATGTACAAATCTAAGTGTTCAAGAGAAAAATGTTCTATAGACCGAGAAATTCAGAATTCAATCACTGTCTAAAAAAAACTATGCAAAACTTAAACAACCCAAAAAGAGAAATAAAAACAGCATTCTAACAAATTAAGACTACTGAAAATTAAATCTCCTAATAAAATACATCATCGACTAAGCAACTAGGAGAGGACAGATTTAGGCTGAGAATACAATACAAGAAATCAGAATTTCCAAAAAGAAAAAATCAAGGTCTCTATAAAAATATTCTCCTAGTCTCCAAAACTGATCATAACACAGTCCTCTCCTTTGTCACATGTCACAGACTTTGGGGAACAGCTTTCTCTCTCCCTGTCTTCCTTTCTTTTCTTCCTGGTCTTTTCTGTCTGTTGTCTCAATATTTATGCTGTGCTCAATGACTGTTCAGTGTTTAACCCACCTACAGCTAGGCAAACACCTGAAGCAATAATAATGCTTTTTGAATAATTTGGATCTTTCCAGGAAAGGAAGCATAGGAGAGATATTCAGTAGGTTGTGATGCACTGGGACATGATTATGAAGCTTCAGACTAATTTAAAGAAATTTTTAAAGTATCATACTGTTACCTGTAAATGGAAAAACAGCTCTTAATTAGTCGTTTGTGTATTTGTTGTTTTTTAAGATGTGAGTAAAATTAATGGTATTTGTGGTGTTATTGTTAAATATGCTATAAAAAGACGTGGTGACTTGAACATTAATATCTTTGCAGATTACAAACTGACTAAAATCACATACTGACTAAAACACTATTGTTTGAGGGATTTTTTAAATGAGTTTCTTTAAATGTGTTAAACTATCCAAGGATGACCATAGCAATTTAAAACAACTGCAATGCAATATGTTGTGCAAATTCAATAGTTTTAAAAAAGTGTGAGTGTCTATTCAACTATTTCCTCCATTTTTTCTTAAACAAACCTGTCATGGTGATGAATCATGTGCAATTTTAATTTTGGAATTAAAACAAACAACAAATTCAGTTATTGTTAGTTACCAGTTAGCCTAAATGGACAGTCTCCCCAGGTTCCAGTCAGACTCAGACAGTAATCCACGAGTCTCAAGGTCTGTTTAAACAAAGAACATTATAAAGTTTATACATGAGAGCAGGTTATTTGGCCCTTCTAGACCATTTGGTGGTTAGCTGTTAATTAATCTAAAGACCACATCCTGTTGTTTCTTCAAAGAAGTCAGGGTATCAGCTTCAACAACATGGCTGGGCTTGTTCCATACTCCCACAATCAATGTAGGAAGTCCTAAATTATAATGTATAAAAATAATCAATGAAGTCAATATAAATTGACATGAAACATACATTAAAGCTATACTTCAGGATTTGGAACTGTAGTTTATATTACATAGAGTGTATCAATGTGGTTTATGGGCCATTTAAGGAAGGACAACAAAGATGTATATATATTGATTCAGCCATTTAGAAGGCACGCTGGATAATGCAGCAGATCACAGTGCACACAATGCACCGCACTCCACCACATTGCACTATTTTTTAAATATTCTGTTGTCAGACTGCACGACTTTGTAAAAATCGCCAGGTGGAGCAGAAAATGCTTCATGTGGCATGTGAAAGTATTCCAGAAAACACATGGTTTCCAATCCCAGTCAATGCTGAGTCCTTTGGGACAATCTTTCCAATTAAAGAATCGCATAGTGTTTGGACTTTTATTAATTTTATACTTTAACTTTCAGGTTTACATCCTTATTAAAATAATCTATTTATGTCTTAATGCAAATATCAGCAACAAGTAATCAGGAAACATTTTTTCTTTTAATTTTGATAATAAAAATATAATTCAAACATACTTTGCTGCAGTGGCTTTAAGACCATACAGTACCATACTGTATTTACTTTGTATTTTGTATACTTATATACCGATTATATCATACTGCATTTGATTACAGCACAGTACCATATACTATAGAGTCCAAAGACATACTGGGAAGTTAATTTTTTCTGGAAAAATTGGCTCTGGTATGAGTGTGTACATCTGGATAAAAAGTATTATAAGTAATGGTTACATGCTTAAGGAATTCTTTACTAAATGTATATGTTAAACAAAGGAGGGAAGAAGAGTTATCTTTACAATTGCCAGTAACTTGAGAACAGTTTATTGATATGTTTAAGCCACACCAAGACAGAGAATTCAGACATGTTACGCCTTTAAATGAGACAGTTACTCACTCTGTTGTTTACTTATTGATGCTGTCTAAATGCAGACGGTTTTGTTATGCAAAATGTTTTAGAAACAATGTGCTCAGTTATTCAATTCCGAGATCATGAATGATTTGACTTTCTATTCATCTCATTTAGCTGAAACAGAAAAAGAAGACATATTAACTTATTAGAAGGCGCTGTTTTATTATCAGACACTGATTCAAACTTGTCTCATACAGCGATATAGACGTGGGTAATGCCACTCCAATTAATGTGCTTATCATATAAATCCTTCTAAACTATAGGTGTTCCAGAAGGACGTACAACAGACTATTTGCTGGAGCACAGTTAATTTCAAACAAGCAATAGTCCATGGAGTTCCTCTTGTTTATTGGTACCAAAACTTGATAGGATGGCACGGTTGTGTGCAGACTATAGAAAAGAGAATGCTGAAACTCGAAAAGACATCGTATGTATAATTATAATAAGTGAATTCCTGGAAATTAGACACAAGAAGGGCACAGATAATTTTAATAGCAATTTTAAGGTGAAGAGTTATAGCAGAGACACATTGTGCTTTTTTTCTTTCAGCATGGATTAACCTTCATTGTTCCTTTGCAGGCTTCCATGCAATATCGCTCCCTACTAAAACGTCTTTAACATGCACTTTGCTTGTTACAAATTGTGGGGGTGTTACATCCCACTGTGTTTGTTATTTGGAATAACTGTTCTGTTCTGACCTATTCTCATCCCCACACCATCTGAGTTGGATGCTGCCTCACTGCCATGGATCCAAAAGGGACATCGTGGATATAGCTATAATTTAGGAGGATGTTTTTGGTCTACAGAGATGTGCATGAAGTACTGACCTTGGACCCCTAGAGGTTTTTTTTCTCCTTACTAAGGAGTTTTTGGTTTCTCATCTTCATTGTCTTCTGGTCTTTTCTATTCTGTATTCACAACATGTATGGTCACTTGCATTGTTAAGCGCCTTGGGGAAATCTTGTTGTGAAAGGCGCTATATAAAAATCAATTGAATTGAATAGGCAGTTTTACTTGGGATCTGATTTTACAGTCTCCTACACTGTTCTTCCGTTCTTTGTTGCATAAGGCAGTTAACAATCAAATAGCCTGTTTTATAAAAACACTTGTTTTTCATTAGTGTGCGTACTGTAGTTTTAAAACTCAATCAAAGACTACTTTCCCGTCATGCCACACACACGAATCACATGAAGTCAGAACCACAGAACTGCTTATACTTTGAAATTATATTTTGTTCAGGGTGATTTGTCACTGTTTTCATAACCTTTGCCTTGTTATTAAAACGCCTATTTTTGAGACAGGGTATTCCAGAGTGTTTAATTTGTGGAATTAAATTCTCTTTAATTTCTCTTTATTTCCTATTTTCACACGGATAAGAAAAAACTACATATGCAAATCTTTTCATATGTTCTGTGTTCAATAGTAATTTCACCACAGTACACATTATGTTACATTTTTAAGAATCAGTCAAAGCATTCTGTTCACCCTGCTGTATTTGTTATGTAGAACACAGTTTTGCTTGGGAGATGGGGATGGAAAACATTAATGTTCTCATAGCGGGGTAATAGGGACCCCACCCTCCTCGACAAAGGACAAAGTTGACAAAGGTGTTAAACATTCAAAAGGGGGCCTGAGGTAGAGTTTTGTGTATTTTAAATTACTGAGAGAACAGCAGCAGCATCTGTGTCAATGTTAGAGGGTTTTATGATAAATAATATAATAATAATTATTAACAACAACAACTCTCGGATCTCGGAGTATAAGAAGTGCAAAAACATTTCGCATAACAAAACCGTGAAAGAACCAGACCTTAAATTTAGATTGTGTTTCTCCGTAGGTGTTGGAACAGTTCAATGAAATAAGGTACAATACAGGCAGACAGACAGATTTTAAATTCTTCAGGCAAAATTAGCTCTTAAAGGTTTGTCAAAATCAGATTCTTTGCAATCAGTACAAGACTTCTCAAAAGATACTGTACCCGTTTCTGTCATCCAAACAAAGGTTTGATTTTTTTTATTTCAAAACGTTGGATGGTTTTCCTCAATGATTCAAAGTGTAATCCAAACAAAAGAGCTGCTGGGCATATCGTGATCTTGACATGCAGGTGTGAAGTAGAGTTAACAACTTCTGTTTCAAAAGGTTTTGAATTTGTGTTAGCTTAAGCTTTTAAGTTTAAGCGTTTAAAGTCATGTAATGTCTAAGTTAGGCAAGAACATGCCATTGTTTCTTTTCAAAATGTTTAAAAATTCAGCTTCCCATTTTCACCTTGCCGTAACTATTGTGGGAATGTAGCATATGTACAGCATTTGAGCTGTCACCAGAAAACGCCAGTTTCGAATCCCGATCACTGCTGAGGGACAATCTTTATTCAGTTAAGAATTTAAGTTATATATTCTTTAGACTTTTAAATTTAAACTGTGTATTACAGCATGTTAATCATCATTCATTAAAAAGTTGGAATATTTTATGAAAGCAAGATTGCTCAGTTGGGCAAAAGTACACAACCTACCTTTATCATAAATATTTTAATTATGCAGAAATATTTTATCAGTCAGTCTTTACCGAAGATATTACTAGTAGTATTAATAATGAATGACCTTGGACAAGCTGTAAACTCAGAGTATTACCCTGGTCCACATTCTTTGTAACCGTCTTTGTAAACAAAAAGACTATTTTTTCATTGACAAAAAAGTAACACCACAGCTTTTCGTTGATCCGATCACGCATTCGTTTCCAATCATACAAAGTAAGTTTTGAGAATCTCCGATTCACCATGCCTTTCACATGCTCATAAACGATATTAATTTAGGAACATAAACATATCATGTAAACTGTATATGGTTGGTATTGGTATTTGAAAGAAAAAATACACACCAGTATTCCACTTTCTCCCTAAACATTTTAAGCATTAGTCTTACATGTGGTTATTTTGGAAACGTTTTTACTTGCTCTTTCTGAACACATTAAGATTATATACTTTGTGAAAGCTTGTTATCGGCTTAAACAAACGCATACTTTTAGAATTTGATTAAAAGGGAATATAATATGGAATCACGTATCTAAACAAATTAATAATGATATAATAATATTCATATACTGTCTGGCGGAATAAACTGAAGAGTTAGTTAATGTGACACAGAATTATTAAGAATTATCACCTCTTTTTACACCTTAGAAGAAATGAGAACATTCCACTCAGTGGCCGATGCATGACAGGAGAATGTGATTGTACTGTATCTGTATGGAATGTGTGTTGTGTTTACAAAATTAAAGTGTTTAAAGTGTATAATTAAAAAGTAAAAAAAAAAACTAAAAGCTTACACAAAGATTCTAACATGATCACGAGGAAGTGTACTGCAATGGTCTAACCCCATTTTGATTAAAATCGCAAAGGCGTGTTTAATTAAACGCCTTTATTGATTCACAATCTGACAATGAAAACCGGGATAAAGTTAGCCTGAAGTTCAAAAACGATTTTGGCATGCCTGTAGTATTTTCACGAAACCTCCTAGAGTTATGAGAACACTATCTTTGTGTATAAAGTACATTGTGAATGTTTTCACAGCCTTCACTTTGTCATTTTTATGCCATTTTTTTGACCATGCATGAATATCCTTATGTCCATATCTTCGCAAGGGAATCAGTGCGAATTTTAATCCTAATTAAATGAC